AGTATCTCAATTATTAAATATAATCACATGGGCGCCTGGGTGGCTCAGTCAGTTAAGTGTCTGACTCTTGATTTCAGCTCAGGTCATGATCTCAGGGTCGTGGGATTGAGCCCTGTGACTGGCTCTGCGCTGGGGGTGGAGCCTGCTTGGGATTTTTCTCCCCTCCCCCCACCCCCCATTTCTCTCTTAAAAAAATAGAATCACACTAGAAGAGAACATCAGTTCATCAGGATCTTACACTTATTGCAGAAAAAGACAACTATCCAAGAAAATAATTTTTACTTTGCTAAGACTTTTTTTTTTAAGCTGTTGTTTGCATTGTGTTTTGTTTTGTATACTGTTTAGAGGAGATCGCAGGGGGTGAGCATACATTCAGTCTAATAGCTTTCATGTTTTCCAGCTACAGTCATGGCAATGAAGTTTGATCTCTGGAATGATGTCTCTTAGACACTACAACCTCACAGCGATTCCTCAGAACAGGCTGTACCCATTTCCGACCCTCCATCTTTGCTTGTGCTGTTCCCATTCCAAACCCTTCCGCGTCTAGCGCCATCATTTGGGTCTTGCCTATGTTCCTCTCACATTTTCTGCCTCCTTTCACTCACCTCCTTCCTCTTCCTTCCCTTTCGCAACCTTACCTGCCCAGAGTCTGTCTCCCCTCCCTGAACCCTATAGGCCTGAAGTGTGAATCACTCATTAAGAGACAACAGCTGGGACATGGGCTCCCACTGAAAACTGTTTTGTGGGTGTCGTTCTTATGTTCCCTCCCTGCACAGTGAGCACTTGAATTTTCAGACGGGGTGACCTACTTTTTTGTTTCCTCATTTGAAGCTAGGGTAGTGCTTTGCATGTAGTAAAAAAATGAGCAATGATTATAATAACAGCTGAAACTTTTGGCAGGCTTACTGTGTGCCAGGTACTGTGCTGAGCAATATGCATTAATTAGGATTATTGCTATTTTGCAGATGAGAAAATAGAGACAGGGAGAGGGTAATAATTCGCCCAGATCACAGAGCTGACGACTGGTACAATGGAATTTTTCATCATATATTCCATTTGGTTCACTAGACTCTCTCTTTGAGAAGAAAATGGCTACGTGCATATTTTCACATATCTTTTGTTTTTAAAGATTTATTTATTTATTTTAGAGAGAGAGAGAGAGAGAGAGCATGCAACCGTGCATTGTGGGGAGGGGCAGAGGGGGAGAGAGAGAGAGAGAGAATCTCCAGCAGACTCCCCACTGAGCATGGAGTCCAACGCAGGACTCTGTACCACGACCCTGAGATCATGACCTGAGCCAAAATCAAGAGTCGGATGCTTAACCGACTGAGCCACCCAGGCACCCCCAAAATTGGTTGTTTTTTTATAAACAGAGAGAAAGCCATCTGCCTTTTCTGAGTGGTAGTCAGTCTGTGGACACACAGTATCATTGTAGTCTGGAAGTCTCACACATTAAAAAGCAAGACAAGATCAAAGCTTGAATATGGCCAACATCTCTGCTCATTTGAATTTAACATTTCCAAGGTATGCCTATTTTGGTGAATCTTTCAGTTTATTGGTATGGTTTAACTAACAAAATATAAAACTAGTTCATGGAGTATTCTTGTAATTTCGTATACCTGTATTTGGAAGTCTAGTTCTTTCTTTTTTGAAGCAAAAGGAACAAAAAACATTTTCCGCATTGAAAGCAAACTGGTGCAGCCCCTGTGGAAAACAGTATGGAGATTCCTCAAGAAGTTAAAAAATAGAACTACCATATATATGATCCAGTAATTGCACTACCGGGTATTTACCCAAAGAATACAAAAACACTTATTTGAAAGGATATATGCACCCCTATGTTTATTGCAGCATTATTTACAATAGCCAGATTACAGAAGCAACTTAAGTGTCCATTGGTAATGAAGAGATAAAGAAGATGTGGTGTGTGTGTGTGTGTGTGTGTGTGTGTATACAGTGGAGTATTATTCAGCCATAAAATATAATGAAATCTTGCTATCTGTGACAACATGGATGGAACCAGAGGATGCTAAGTGAAATAAGTCAGCCAGAGAAAGACAAATACTATAGGATTTCACTCATATGTGGAATTTAAGAAACAAAACGGAACAAATGGAAAAAGAAGAGACAAACCAAAAAACAGACTCTTAACTATAGAGAACATACAGGTGGTCACTAGAGAGGAGGTGGGGGCATGGGTGAAACAGGTGATGGGGATTGAGAGTACACTTACCATACTGGAGGGTGTTATGCTGAGTGAAATAAGTCAATCAGAGAAAGACATGTATCATATGACCTCACTGATATGAGGAATTCTTAATCTCAGGAAACAAACTGAGGGTTACTGGAGTGGTTGGGGGGTGGGAGGGATGGGGTGGCTGGGTGATAGACATTGGGGAGGGTATGTGCTATGGTGAGCGCTGTGAATTGTATAAGACTGATGAATCACGGATCTGTACTTCTGAAACAAATAATGCAACATATGTTAAGAAAAAAGAAAAAGAAGAAGATAGCAGGAGGGGAAGAATGAAGGGGAGTAAGTCGGAGGGGGAGACGAACCATGAGAGACGATGGACTCTGAAAAACAAACTGAGGGTTCTAGAGGGGAGGGGGTGGGGGGATGGGTTAGCCTGGTGATGGGTATTAAAGAGGGCACGTTCTGCGTGGAGCACTGGGTGTTATGCACAAACAATGAATCATGGAACACTACATCAGAAACTAATGATGTACTGTATGGTGATTAACATAACAATAAAAATTATTTTAAAAAAAAGTACACTTACCATGATGAGCACTGAGTAATGTACAGAATTGTTGAATCACTGTATTGTACACCTGAAACTAATATAACAATTATACTGGAATTAAAAATAAATATAAATAAATAATTTTGAAATTGAAAGCAAAAAAACCCATTCCCCCCCCCACATTATCTTATGATACATTTTGGCATTTGTTAATGTCATGTATGCCAGTAGCTACTCCAGTATATCCCCTCTGTTCCACTGATAAGTATTGCCCTTTTGAGCCAGCATTAGTCTTAACAATTAGTGTTCTGTAGTTCGTGGTCAGTTGAGTAAATAAATAATAAATAAAGAAATATGTGGTCAGTTGAATCTCTTACATACTTATTAGACTATTCTTTTGTTTTCTTGCTTATTTTTCCATTTTAATTGAAATTGTGCTAAAATCAGAAAATTTGGAGCAAATGGTCATATGTACATATATGCTGTCCTCCCATCCAAGAGCATATCTGGAGTGACTCATTTTGCAAATAACACTTAAATCTCTTTTTAATTAAAAAAAATTTTTTTTAAAGATTTTATTTATTTGAGAGAGAGAGAAAGCACATGGGGGGGGAGGGTCAGAGGGAGAAGCAGACTCCCTGCTGAGCAGGGAGCCCGATGCGGGACTCGATCCAGGGCCTCCAGGATCATGACCTGAGCTGAAGGCAGTCACTTAACCAACTGAGCCACCCAGGGGCCCTAATTAAAAATTTTTTTTAATTTTTATTTTATTTTTTTAAATTAACATATAGTGTATTATTTGTTTCAGGGAAGTAACACCTAAATTTTAACGTTTTCTGTCAGCATTGCTTAAATCTCTCAGTGGCCCCTAATCTCTCTTTAGCAACAGGGTCCAATTCTCTTTGTAGCCCTCAGTAGCTAAGTGAATGTTGTGCAGAAGCTTCTCTTTACACTGACCTAGTTTTGCTCGGACCTTAACCTTCTTTCTCTGAGGCCAGTAATGTGTAGGAGGCCTGATCTGGGTCCCTTTCTTTTTAACATCCAGAACATAGAAGACAGTTTTCTGGAAATCAGTTGCTTCCATTTGGTAGAGTCTGTATCACTCCATCCACTCCTGCTCACCCATTTTTGTCCTTCTACCAGCATCTGTAAAACACTTGGGGATCAAGAGATGTTCGGAAAAGGTAAAAACTGCGGCGCCTGGGTGGCTCAGTCGGTTAAGCATCTGACTTTGTTTCAGGTCATGATCTCAGGGTCCTGGGATGGAGCTCATCGGGGAGCCTGCATCTCCCTCTCCCTGTTCCACTCCCCCCACTCATGCTCTCTCTGTCTCTCTCAATTAAATAAATGTTAAGTCTTCAAAAAAAAAAAAAAAAAAACCACTGCGGTGATGTTATCACAGGTCTATGCATGTGTCCAAACTCATGGAAATGTATGCATTAAATATGTGCATTTTTATGATTAAGTATACTTTAATGAGGCTGAAAGAAAGAAAACAGAGTTTTTGGTAAATTGGTAAATTTGGTAAGCTTTGGTGAATTAAGTCATATGGTAATTCGATCCTTCAAAGAATGGCCCACTTGTTCACTTGGTCATTCTGTGACTTGGCTTTTGGTGACATGGCTCTTGATGAACTGACTTGGAGCCAAATCCATGACTTCTAATACCAAGCAAATGAGGCAGCGTTTTTATCCGCGGATAGATCCTCTTTAGAACTTCCCCATGGAAACCAGTGCTTTATCATGAGAAGGAAAATTCTGGGATTTTATCGTCACACAATTGTGGGAACAAATCACTCTTGACTTTCCCTTTCCCTGGCCTTTTCTAGTTCCTTTCTCCCTTTTCCTTCCCAATATAACAGGCTAGAAGGGCAGAAGGGGTGGGAAGTGTCAGGGGTCTAGTGAGGGTTGGGGTCTGGGTGGTAATGGGGACGGCCACGGCAGGGCCTTTGTGTGTAGCACCCTGCTCCTCCCAATGCCTGATATTTGCTGGGAGAGGCAGTTGCTGCAGAAGCCACAGACGTCTTTCCGCATGCGTTCCCCAGAGTTCCCAGAAGGAAAGTGTATGAGTGCTGCTATGGCAACCATTTTCAACCAGTGGGAAGTAAAGCTGAGACATTTCTGCCTGCTCGGGTTCCGTCAAGGAGGGGGAAGTAGGAGACAGCTGAGAGAAGGAGAGTACAATCAGTCCTAGCAACTATCTGACCTCAATAAGAGGAGCAGCCTGTAGTATTCATACTCCGTTTCGTTCCAGCAGGACGTGAGCCGGCAGGGCTGTGCCGGGATGAAGAAGAATGATAAGCCTCGCCCCTGGTATGTATTGGGGGTCCTTATTTGCCAGTCACTGGGTTCAGGGCTCAGTATCTGTTAGGCCGTTTCCTTCTCACAACAGATATTTTCTTTTTTTAAATATTTTATTTATTCATTTGACAGAGAGAGAGACACAGTGAGAGAGGGAACACAAGCAGGGGGAGTGGGAGAAGGAGAAGCAGGCCTCCCGCTGAGCAGGGAGGCTGATGCGGGGCTCGATCCCAGGACCCAGAAATCATGACCTGAGCCGAAGGCAGACGCTTAACAACTGAGCCACCCAGGTGCCCCCAGATATTAATATTTTCATATTAGATTTCAGAAAACAGAGACGAAGAGCATTAATTTGCCCAAGACTCAAACCCAGAGCTTCTGTACTTTTTGCTCCGCTATTCCCAGATTCTGAGATCAGGGCCTCTGTTGTACACTTGATAGTTTCCTTTAAAGATATCTTTTACGGGGACACCTGTCTGGCTCAGTTGATAAAGCATGCAACTCTTGATCTCAGGGTGATGGGTTCAAGCCCCACGTTGGGTGAGGAGCCCACTGAAAAAAAAAGTCTATAAAAAAAACTTAAGAAAAATAAGGATATCTTTTATGAAGCATAGATGACAGAGATTATACTATAATGGTTATCAGCGCAGAATTGGGGCAATTTACATAGCACCTTTTTTTTTTCCAAATTTCCTTGCCTATAAAATGGAGATAACAATGATGCCTATTGAATAGGATCTTTATGAGGATGAAATCAAATAGTTCATTGAAAGATTAAGAACACCTGGCACATTATAGCCTTTCTCCTTAAGGTTTACATATTCCTGCTGTTAGGAGGAGGAGTATAAATGGTACTCTTTTAAATGGTCTTAATTGGTGAAATGAAAAGACCATGATCTGTGTCAGAATCCTGTTTTGTTATTTAGTCCATGAAATCTCCAAGGCTGGGAGCCCCTGCCCTTAACCCATGTGCTTTGTATGTGGAGTGGTTGATTTTTCGTGTTGAAACAACTGGTCTCCATCCCAACAAGCTAAGGAAAGTACTTTGCTAAGTGTTCTCTCTCTTCAGGAGGAACTGTTGAGCTTGCTGCCTGGAAGCCACCGCACACATCCAGGCCTGCCACACACAGGTTGTGCTGCTGAGCTGGCATAGAGAGGTAAGCACATGGGAGTGGGAAGGAAGGAGTGTGGAAGGCGGGGTGGCTTCGTGGGAAGAAGACCAACTGTGGACTCACAGGGTTGCAAACCACGGATCTGCCACAGACTGGCTTTGTGACTTCAGGCAGGTTGTTTCAGCTGCCTGAGCCTCATCTGAGCAATGTGATCATAATAGGGGTTGACAAGGCTGAAAATAAGATGAAATGAAGGAATTCGTATAGAGCACACAGAACAAGGCCAGGCTTGCTGTAGGTCTTCAGTAAACATTAGCTACCCCAATCATGATGATTAAGAGACTAACAACAATAGACAGAATAAAAAAGTAGGAGCATTGGAAAGAGCCCACATCTTCCCTGCAGCTGGGAAAATTTTCTCAGTACTCCAGGCACAGGTGTGGCTTGAGCTGTCGCTGTTAGAGTGAATGCCCAGACGCCAAGGCCTGGGCGGGACTCGTGAGGACACTGAGTGCTGAGCACGTAGGCTCCGGAGCTGAGAGACTGCTGTTGGGGATGGCAACCAGCCTCAGTTCTGCTCGCTTGTCCAAATCCCATAAAGCGCATCTGACCAGTTGCTGTGAACCTCGTAGTACCACAGCAGGTGCCAGACCGTAGCCTTGCCCTCTCCCTGTGTTCCCTGTGTACGTGTGTGGTGGAGGCGGCACGCGGTACCTCTGGAATGGGAGCCCGAAACACCCAGCCCCACAGCAAGGGCTTTCCTAAGGGGCAGAGCTCTGAGCTCCTTTGTGTCATGCTTTTGGGGCAAGGACAGCAGGGACCCCTGGAGAGAGTGAGTAGTCTGGCTCCTGGCGTGATCTTTCAGGCAAATACAAAGGATTTGTTGGGCAGGCATCATGGAAAGAGGCTGGTTTCTCCGCATCTCACTTGGTGCCCAGCCCGTGCACTGCATTCTCTGGAGGGAGGACCCCTGGTCAACCACGCTCTTACATGTAGCTGCCTTCCTAGCCCAGTGCCTATGGCAGAGGCCTTCCTCAGGCACCTCTGCTAACGCCTCCTCATCTGAGGCAGTGGGGCACTTAAAGACACATTTTCTCCACTCAGTACTCAGTACTTTTCCAGTCTCAGCCCTTCCCGCGCCTCCTCCTGCCTGTGGGTCCATAAGATGGCAGGAGCCTTCTGTTCAGGGCTTCCTCCACGGTGAGACCATCCCTCGAGGCTGCGCTAATCCATTTGACCCTTGCTGGAGCCGGCCCATGGGAGGAAATGGAACAGTGGGGGGGTCGTCAGCACCTTCTCTGGTTCACCCTCTGGCTATACCATCAAAGGAAGTGATTAGAGCCTTGACTGTTAGTTTTACTTTGGCTTCTTGTTTTAATCGACTACTCTGAAACCTGGCGACTCAGCTTTCTGTAGCTCAGCTCAGCTCTTGAGAAAGAGGTGCAGGAAGCAGGGTAGTTGATGTGGAGGAAAATCTCAGGGGGCACTTCACCAATGGGGTACCAGCAAAGCGTGCTGGCAAGTCAGCTGCAAGAGGCAGGGGATCTCACGGGGCACTTCGCCAATGGGTGTCAGGAAGTGGCAGCAGAAGCCACGGGGCATTCTTGGAGGATGGCAGCGAATTGTTTTTTCCTTTTTTTTTTTTTTTTAAAGATTTAGTTATTTATTTGAGAGAAAGAGCGCACGAGCGGGAGGGGCAGAGGGACAGGGAGAATCTCCAGCAGACCCTGTGCTGAGCACGGATCCCAACGCGGGACTCTATCTCAAACCCTGAGATCATGACCTGAGCCGAAATCAAGAGTCAGCCACCCAGGCACCCCGCAAATTGTTTATATAAGCTTTTGCGTTCCAAGATGGACCACTGGTCCTTCTCTTTAGCTCCCAACACCCTGGCTGAAATCGTTGGGTGGGTCAAATTAGAAATCCAACAGCGAGGGACTGTAAGAAGGCCAGGGAAGCAATTTGCTCACTACTCTTTCCTGTTCTCTGATGACGGAACCAGAAGTTGTCAGAGACCAGGGAAACTGAGTTGCACCCAATGACTGTTCTTAGATCTAAGCCCATCCCTGGTGCCAGTGGACAGTCTGCTGGGCATTGTGTTATTGAGACTCATGCTTCTAATTAAAAAAAACAAAACAAAACGTAGAGCTCTTTGAGATTGCTATGTCCAGTGACTTGACAAGTTTGCCTCTGTGATGAAAGAGGGAATCGTGTTCAACTTCACAAGGGAAAGGGGCTCCGAGTGAGGTGCGTCACCATAGACCCCCCTCCTCCAGAGTGCCTTGACGGTAGCCACTTTGCCTGAGGAGGAGGAAGAAGGGAGAGATGAGAGGGCAGGATTATCAGAGACCCTCCTCCTCAGCTTTGGACTCTGACAGATTTGGCCCACACATGAGGAGGCAATGGAAAAACTTGTCTGGAGCGCCCTTACAGAAGCTACGGAGGCCCCGCGCGCAGCCTGGTAGTCTTTGGGGTCTACAGTGAGAGAGTGGGAGTGGGGTTTGATGAGGTGGTTCACCAGGCGAAGATTTTTAGGTTTGTTCATGCTGCTTCTGCTCGTTATCGAACCCAATTAAACCTCCACCCAATTAAGCTTCAGAATGAGGTTAGGTCAGTTGGTCAGCCACACAATCTGGATCTTCACTGAGAAATTTCTGGGCACTGAAAAAGTGGCTACTGCAAATAGAGCAAATTTGACTGACCAAAGAAACAATGTCAAAATGGCGATCAGGAGCCCTCTTGTGGACTTTCTGGGCAAGAGCTTTTTCCAAAGACAGCTCTGGGCCCAGTCACTCAATAACGGGTCCTCAAAGAAGGAGATTGATGTGCTCCCCACTAAGGAACTCTGGGCCAGTACCAGGTCATGGGGCACTTGATAGATGCTAGGGTCTGCATGGTGATGGCCCTCTGCCTCTCCTGGTGAATCGGGAGACAAATCCAAGAGTCCGAATGTCTTAGTGTCTTGGTCAGCTCAGGACAGAATGAGTGGCCTGCTATTGGCTTTGGTGGATACTGAGCACATGATCGATGGCTGTGAGGTAATCTTAAGACCAGAAATCCCAGTCATGTCACAGATCCAAGCAGATGTCTCAAATCACCTGGTGGAGGTGGTTCAAGAGTCTTCCATACTAAAATATAAATGGTACCTATAGGAATGAACAAAACTCAGCCCAGATGAGGTCTCATAACTCCAAGGAAAGATCTCAGGAATGTCTCTCTGGCTCCCTGGCATATTTCCCAAGGAGGCAGCCCAGTGAGGTCCCAGATAGAGAGGCTTCCTGGACCACAGATGGGCCTGTTCACTGTCAGCTCCTCCTGGTTAACTACTAACAAGCAGGGATGGGGTTCAGCTGCCATCCACTTCCCGGGTGTGGTAAGGGATGCTCAGTATAATGGGTAGAGCTTCGTGCAGGATGACTGGCTGGCTGTCCCGGCCACCTCAACAAAGAGGTTTGCTATATTTTTGCTGACTGGTGTACTGTGGCTAATGGCCTCGACATATTTTGGGGCCACTGGCAAGACTCAGATTGGCATGTAGAGCAAGCCTCCCTGTGGGGACTAGCCATTAGTAGAAGTCAGTTCTCCTAATAAGCTTCTTGTTACTCATATGGACGCTCACCAGAAAGACCCCAACGTGGGGGTGGGGAACATCACAAACGGGTGGACTGTGCTCATCAACCACATAGGGAGACTGAAGTGTCCTTTACCCCAGAGCAAGCAGACACGCCTCTAGGATCCACAAGAGAATGGCCGTTGGGAATTCAGTGTAGGGAAGGAAAAATTCTTTCTCTACCCTTCAAGGTCTTCTAGCTGGACTAAATTAAATCTACGTGAGACAGAGTAATATGGAAAAAAAACCCAGTGTCATTATGTGAGCACAGAGGCCCAGTAATGAAATTGAGACCTAAAGAAATAAATGACCAAAACAGGCAGTTTTTATACTTTTTAGACAAAGAGACAATAAATTTATGAGGAATTGACAGGATAAAGAAAACAGGTGTTTGGGAGCTTTTTTTTTTTTTTAAGATTTTTATTTATTTGACAGAGAGAGAGCGCGAGAAAGGGAACACAAACAGGGGGAGTGGGAGAGGGAGAAGCAGGCCTCCCGCCGAGCAGGGAGCCCGATGTGGGACTCGATCCTAGGACCCTGGGATCATGACCTGAGCCGAAGGCAGACGCTTAACAACTGAGCCACCCAGGCGCCCCTAGGCTGATTGTTTTTAAGAAACCGAAGACTCAGGAAGTTTTTCTTTTTACTTCTCTCTTTTTACCTTTACCACTGCCTGAAAGAATTTCGATAGAGGGCCTCTTCCTGGAAACGAGCTACTATCCTAGATAATGACAGTATAATGTGACCTCAGGTGTGGTAGACAGGGAGAAACCTAGCAAAGTCTGTGTGTTAAAATTCCTCTCTGCGCCTTGTTGTTTCTTTATGGCCCAGCAAATATCTGTTTCCCAAACATTTATTTTTCATCTTCCTGTGAATGACTCGCCTGCCCTTTGAAGTCTCAGACCCCTCCCCACTTCTCAGTTCAGGATGGCATACATAACTTCATTTTGCCTGTCTTTGGAATGTCTTATGTTTATGGGGATTCCCCACAGGTATATAATTAAATTTGTTTTTCTCCTATTATTCTGTCTTGTGTCATTTTAATTATTCAGCCAACCCACCAAAAGAACTAAGAGGGGAAGGGGGAAATTTTCCCTTCTCTGACAACCTTACCCCTGTTGGGATGGCTGCTATCAAAAAGACAGGAGATAACAGGCGTTGGCGAGGATGTGGGGAAAAGGGAAGCCTCGTGCACTGTTGGTGGGAATGTAAATTGGTGCAGCCACTGTGGAAAAACAGTGTGGAAGTTCCTCAACATTAAAAATAGAATTACTGGGGCACCTGGGTGGCTCAGTTGGTTTAGCAACTGCCTTCAGCTCAGGTCATGATCCTGGAGTCCTGGGATTGAGTCCTCCATCAGGCTCCCTGCTCAGCGGGGAGTCTGCTTCTCCCTCTGACCCTTCCCCCTCTCATGTGCTCTCTCTCTCTCTCTCTCATTCTCTCTCTCTCAGATAAAAAAATAAAATCTTTAAAAAAATTGAATTACTATATGATCTAACAATCCCACTTCTGGGTGTATATCTGAAGGAAAGGAAATCAGAATCTTGAAGAGATATTTGCACTCCCATGTTCATTGCAGCATTATTCAAATTATTCACGGTAGCAAAACATGGGAACAACCTAAGGGTCTATAGATGGGTGAACAGATAAAGAAATATATATAAAATGTGGGAGAGGTACATAATGTGAGATAGATATATATATATATATATATATCTGCTGTCATTTTTGGCAACATGGATTAAACCAGAGGGCATTTTGCTAAGGGCAATAAGCCAGACAGAGAAAGCTAAATACTGTATGATCTCATTCATACATGGAATCAAAAAAAATTAAGTCAAACTCATAGAAACAGAGAGTTGAACGGTCATTGCCAGGGGCTGGGGCTGGAGGAAATCAGATGTTGGTCAAAAGATAAGTTCTGGGGAGCTAATGTTTGGTGTGGTGACCACAGTTAATAATACTGTATTGTGTACTTGACATTTGCTAAGAGAGTCTATCTTTTTTTTTCAAGTTTCAGATATTTATTAATGATTTCATGTATTTAGAGGGGAACGATTTCCTGGATAACTGGAAAGTTGTGCAGGTGGCTTCTGGAAGACCTTCATTTTAAGCAGCTTTATGGTGAAACGTTTCATTTAGAAGTCTGGACCTTCTTCAGTTTGCTGCAATCTCCGTTCACTGAGTAGAACTGGTATTGATTCTTGGGACCCAGTTTGTTCCAGGGTTCTGGATTGAACAAATTCCAGGCACAAGACGTAGAACGCTGCCAGTACCTCTGGCCCCACGACATACGAAGGGGGCACCCAGCTTGGCTGCTTCTTGGAACGTCTCAGAAGATCTGGCAGAACGTGGTGGCGGCAGAAGCCTAGAGTCTGGAAGGAGAGAACAGATCTGCAAGGAAGAGATTCTGCTAAGAGAACAGATCTTCAGCCTTCTCTCTACACACAGAAAAGGTAACTGTGAGTTGAGGGATGTGTTAGAATTACCTTAATTGTGGTCATTTCACAATGTGTACGTATATCGAATTGGATTGTGCACTTTAAGTGTATACAACTTTATTTGTCAATTAAAAATAAAGCTGGGAAAAAATTACAAATAAACTGTCAAGTAGATCCATTGATGGATGGTTCTATTGAGTTCAGCTATCCTTACTGATTTTCTGCCTACTGGATCTGTCAGTTACTAATAGAGGGAGTGTCAAAATCCCTCACATTAATAGTGGGTTATCTATTTCTCTGTGCATTTTTATCAGTTCTTGCCTCTTGTATTGTGACGCTTCGTTGTAAAGTGCATATATTTCAAAGATCATTGTGTCTTCTCAGAGAATTGACCCCCCCCCCTTATTATGTAATACCCTCTTTATTCCTGGGAAGTTTCCTTGTTCAAATGCCTTTTTTGTCTGAAACTAATCTCACTACTCCAGCTTTCGTTTGATTAGTGTCCGCGGTACCCCCCTCCCCTCTCTTTTACTCTTAATATATGTGTGTTTTTATATTCAAATGGGGTTTCTTGTAGACAACATATAGTCTGGTCTTGTTTATCATCCACCCTTACAGTCTCTTCTCTTAATTGGCGTATTTAGACCACTCCCATTTAAAGTGATTGTTGATATAGTTGGATTTGTACCTACCATGTTTGTCAAAATTTTGTATTTGTTGCACTTGTTCTTTGTTTTTTTCTTAATCTTCCTGTTTCTGCCTTCTCTTTTAATTGAGCATTTTTTATTATTCCATTTTCTCTTCTCTCTCAGCGTATCAGTTATATTTCTTTTTAACTTTTTAGTGGTTTCCCTAGACCTAGACTGTGCAACATAAATTTACAACTACTCTAGGTCCACCTTCAAACAGCACTGCGCCACTGTATGGGCAGTGTGGCTGTAACAGAGAATCCCCAGCTCCCCACTCCCACCCCCCTCATAACACTGCTACCGTTTCTTGCACTGACCTACGCGCTATGATCACCCGTACATTGTGGCTGTTATTCCTTTGAACAGTCGTCCTTTAGATTAAATAAGGAAAATAAAATACTGTATTTTAATCTTCATTTATTCCTTCTCTGACACCTCTCCTTTATTTATGTAGATCCAGATTTCTGACCAATACCATGTTCCTTCTCTCTGAAGAGCATCTTTTAACATTGACTGGTGACAAAAATTCTCTCAGTTCTGTAAGTCTGAGTGTTAACGGATTGAATTGTGTCCCCCTGCAAAATTCATCTGTCAAAGCCCTAACTCCCAACATGACTGTATTTGGAGAGGGCCTTTAGAAAGGTCATTAATGTCCCCTGTGGCTATAAGGGTGGGGCCTTACTGCAATTTGACTGGTGTCCTTGTAGGAAGAGCAAGAGACACCAGGGATGCGCGCGCGCACACAGAAGGGTAAGGCCATGCGTGAAAATGGCTGTCTCCAAGCCGAGCAGAGAGGCCTCCCAAAAGGCAACACTAAAGCACCGTGATCTTTGACTTTCAGTCTCCCGAACTGTGAGAAAATCATTTTTTTGTTGTTTAAGTCACCCCGTTTGTGGTATTTTGTTATGACAGCCCTAGGAAACTACTACACCAAGAAAGTCATTATTTTCCCTTACTTCTGAAGGATGATTTTTCTGGATATAGATTCGGTTGGTGGGTTTTTTCTTTTAACACTTTAAATATTTCATTCTACTCTCTTCTTGCTTGCATGATTTTTGAAGCAAGTCTGATGTAATTCTTCCCTTTGTTCCTCTCTAAATAAGGTGTTTTTCTTCTCTGACTTTTTAAAAGATTTTTTCTTTGTCTTTGGCTTTATGCAGTTTGAATATGATATGCCTAGGGGTGTGTGTGTGTGTGTGTGTAGATAGATATATATATATGTATATTGGCATTTATCCTGCTCAGTGTTCTCTGAGATTCCTAGATTTGTGGTGTGGTTTCTGTCATTAATTTTAGAAAAATCTCAGCCATTATTACGTCAAATAGTTCCTGTTTCTTTCTTTCTTCTGCTTTTGATAGTCTCATGATATATATGCTATACCTTTTGTAATTGCCCCACAGTTATTAGATATTCTGTCCCAATTTTTATTATTTTTTTTCTATTTCAGTTCAGTTTGGGAAGTTTCTGTTGACGGATCTTCAAGTGCTCTGATTCTATCTCCAGCCCTTTCCAATCATCTGATGAGTCCATCAGATGATGTATACTTGATTTCTGTTACAGTGGTTTCTTTTTCTAGTCTTTCCTTTATATTCTTTCTTAGGGTTTCTATCTCTATTTACATTACCTGTCTGTTCTTGCATGTTGTCCACTTTTCCCACGAAAGCCCTCAGCATATTAATCATACTTATTTTTAATTTCCCTGTCTGGTGATTTCAAAATCTCTGCCATATCTGAATCTGGTTCTGACACCTGCTTTGTCTCTTCAGATTGTTTCTTCTTTCCTTTTATCATGCCATGTAGTTTTTTGTTGTTGTTGTTGGAAGCCAGTCGTGAGTTATCAGGTATTAGGATTACAGTAAGTAGGCCTTTAGTATGATGTTTATTTTTGTCTAAGAGATAGGCTGTATTTACTGTTTTCTGTCTCTGTAGTATCAGAGGATTCAGTTTCCACTAGTGTCTTTGTTTTTGTCCCCCAGCATCTTTTGTTTCCCTAGCAAACACTTCTTCCATAGAATTTGAGCCTTGCAGTTCTCGGCTGTAATCTGTAATCCACTATTGTGAGCCAGGAGCCCTGTTGATGTTTGGTCAGGTCTGGACTGAAGGCACGCATTCTGTAATCCTGGGATTAGGTCTCAGTCTTTTAGTGTACCTGTCCCCCTGGGCTGGGACCTTCTCAGGTGTTTCTCTGTTTTTCCCCCCACCTTATGTGAAGAGAGAAGGCTCAGGGGGCCTGGAGTTTGCTCATTTCCCTTACCCTGAGTCCAGTAAGGCTTCTCCCTTGCTGGGTAAGCCTTTGTTGTGGAGAATACTCTTGGCTTCTTTCAAAATAGTTCTTTCTTGCCTCTCCCTGGCCCAACAGGAAGCAATTTGCTCTCCTCGGTTATCAAGAAAAGCTGTTGAGGATTCTAGGGGCAAACACCATGATTGTGGAGGGGGTGGCTACCTTAGGTGGGGCCCCCAGGAGTTTCATCTCTCAAGCTAGTCCACAGCTCGCTGAAGCTGCCGTTCAAGTCCTGGTTCAAGTCCTGGTTGCACTCACCAGCACTTCCTGTCTCAGGGGTGAGGAGTTGTAGTCCCTGCAATCTGTCATCTCTGTCATCGCTGGTTCCTCTAGGTTCGGGGTGCAGCTGGTCCCATGACCTCAGTACTCTGATGTCTCCACAGAGTCATTGATTTTTAATCTGTTCATATTTTTTCTTGTTGTGAAGATGGGAGTGAAGACTTGTAACAAGCCCTTTAGGTGTTAGAGTAGAATCTTTCCTTTTAGATTTTAGACGTTGTTTCCGTTAGCTCTTTGGACATATTAAAATAGCTGATGAAAGGCTTTATCTAGTAATTCCAATGCCTGTGCTTCCTTGGGACAGTTCTATTGATTGCTCTCCCCTCCATACATGGGCCATCCTTTCTTGATTCTTCATGTGCCTCATAAAATTTTATTTAAAACTGGACATTTTTGAATATCGTCATGTGGCAACTCTGGGAATGAGATTCCCTTCCTGCCGGGCTTCGTTGTGGCTGCCTGTTGCAGTTCATGTTTATTTAGGACTTCTCTGAATTAATTCCACAAAGACTGTCTTCGTTGTTGTATATAGCCATTGAAGTCTTAGCTCAGTGAGCTCAGTGGTCGGCTGATGGTGGACAGAGATTTCACTGAATGCCTGGAACAAATAAATCTCGCCCTCGTTTCCGAGAGGTTCAGTGTGTGCACTGCTTTCAGCATTCAATCAAACAGTTTACAGCTCTGAATTAACCTTCACTAGCCTCAAGGCCAGCCAGAGTTGAGAAGTTACAGGGCCTTCTCACACTTTTCCGGAGCATGTACAGTGTCCTAAGCATGTACTTGACCTTCTAGATTCCCAGGAATATGTCAGAACTTTTCAAAGCTCCAGTGGACATGTAGTTGCTCAGCCGATTCTTTTCAGTTTTTTGGTTAGTGTGTTACTTCCCTCAAGTGTTATCTAATGCCTTAGGCATCCCCCCCCCACACACACACACAAAAACCCCACTTTCCAATGAATGTTTTTGGCCAGTGCCGTCAAGAAGAGAGCACTAGACGAGCTCTTAGTTCAAATAAAGACGAGTCTTTGGAGGAGGGTCTTCCAGTGACCCGTGAGGTTAAATAATTAATATTTGGGGAGGATGAGGCTTTCAAAGAGGACCACTCTGCTCCCTCCTGTACTACAAACTTGGGCTGTTGTTTTTCAAGGCTTCCACAGAGCTGTGGAGTGGTAGATGGGACTAGGGTAATTTAAAATACCATAAAGTCTGCTGTTCTTGTTGACATTCAGCTGTTTTTTCTTGAATAAACACTCCTAGGTTGGGAGCGTAAAGTAGGGCAGATGTTTTGGAAACCGCTTTTCCAGTAACTCAAACAGTTAAACATAGAGTTAGCATATGACCCAGCGATTCAGCGCCTGGGTATATACCCCAAGAGCATGGAAACCATATGTTTACACAAAAATTTTGTGAATATACTCAAAACCACTGAATTACGCACTTTAAAATATGTGAAATATCTCGATATAAGTAAGAACTGAAGTTCTGAGATATGGAGGAACCTTGGAAACATGATGCTAAGTGAAAGAAGCCACACAGAGAAGGCCATATATTTTATGATTTCATTTACTAGGAATGTCCGGAATATTGAAGCCCATTGACAGAAAGTATATTAGTGGTTACCGGCGGCTGGGGAATGGGGAATGGTGAGTGACTGCTGGTGGGTATGAAGTTTCTTTTAGGGGTGAGGAAAATGTTCTGGAATTAGGTAGTGAGGACTGAGGCAAGAATTCGCAAATATACTAGAGACCACTGAATTGTACATTTTAACAGGGTGAACATCATGGTATATGCATTGTCTCTTAATAGCAATGTTATTTTACAAAAGAAAAAATAATGCTGTGGAGAGCGTAAATCCCTCCATGTATTCAAAAAATACCAATGGACCGGCCACCATTTGATATTTCTAG